TTGGTCAGGCTGGTCTCAAACTCCTGACCTCAGGTGATCCACCTGCCTTGGCCTCCCAAAGTGCTGGGATTACAGGCCTGAGCCACCGTGCCCGGCCTATGGCATATTTTTAAATTGTAATGGAGTCAGTTAATAAAGTATTATGTATCCATTAAAAATGATAACAAATAATTATGTTGATAAACGCTGAAAGATGCCCATGAAAATATTAAGGGATAAAAGCAGGTTACAGAGGACAGTGTCCAGTATGATCTCATCAATAGACTGTGTGTATGCATGTATCCTTATGTATACATAAGTATAGAGAGACATTTATGAGGATGTTCACTGAAATGAAAATAGTGATTGTCCCTGGGGGAAGGGAAAGAATTTCAGATAATCTTTACTGTGTTACTCTGTATTATTTGAATGTTTACAATCAGAGGACAGTTATTTTTAACTGCCAGTATATAATAATTTTTCCTCTGCATGGGAAAGAGGAAAAGTTGGTGATCATGATAAAAGCACAGTATCATCAGTTGTTCACAATTTGTAACCTTGGTTATTGTTGTGTTCCTATAACCTAATAGAAAGCTACACACAAAATAAGCACTCAGGAATAAATGTTTGGTGAATATTGTTTTTTAAACTTTTAACCCCTTCTGTTTTTTTAACGAATAATATGCAGTATACAATAATTTAAGCTCTCTACAGGTAAGTGATCACTGAGAAACGTTGGACTTACCACTCCATGCTTGACATCAAATGACTTTTTAAAGGGCCTGGTTATTTCAGGGAATAGTCCTGCATGAACATGAAGAGGGAAAATCAGGATTAAAAGCAGTGTTAAAATAAAATTTCTTACACTTCCAATTAGGCTACTACCACAAATTGTACACACATCATCTGTTTCCCTTTAGCATCTGATGAAAAATTATAGCTAGATAAGAGGAATAAATTTTAGTGTTCTATAACATTGTAGAGGGAATACAGTTAACAGTAATTTATGGCCAGACACCGTGGCTCATGGCTGTAATCCCAGCACTTTGGCAGGCCAAGACAGGAGAATCACTTGAGGCCAGGAGTTTGAGACCAGCGTAGGCAACATAGGGAGACCCCCGTCTCTACAAATAATAATTTTTAAAAATTAGCTGGGTGTGATGGTGGCACCTGGGGTTCCAGCTACTAGGGAGGCTAAGGCAGGAGGATTGCCTGAGCCTGGGAAATGGAGGATGCAGTGAGCCATGACTGCATACTGCACTCTAGCCTGGGCAACAGAGCAAGACTCTGTCTCAAAAAGAAACCCAATAATTTATTGTGTATTTTCTTTTTTTATTTGAAATATCTCTGGAAAATTGCATATTTTCAAACAGCTACAAGAAAGGATTTTGAATGTTCCCAACACAAATAAATCATAAATGTTTGAGGTGATGAATATGCCAGTTACCCTGACTCACTCATTACACATTGTATACATGTGTTAAAATACCACACTGTTCTCTAGAAATATATACAATTATTATGTGTCAATTAAGAATAATATCTTTTTAAAAGTAAGCATCAAACAGGTAAGACAAAACCGTACAAGTTAAATTCATAGTAATTCTTCTGGAGCTTTTGGGAGAGATAAACATTTTTGTGTCTGAAATATTCTCCTATGATACACAACTTACACTCTTAGAATTGGAGAGAAGCAAGACTGCTGAAATTCTGAGGCTGTAAATTTTTTTTAAGGTCTTGAGAAGCTCAGGTGTATTATTTAAGTGATATTTAAGGTGTGTATTTAAGTGATAACTTAAAAACTTAAAATTTAAGTACACAGTTCAATGAATTAAGTAAACTTACCAGGTTATGCAATTATCATCATAATCTGGTTTTAGAGTATTTTCATCACCCCAATAAGATTCCTTTTGCTCTTTTATAGTTAATCCCCTTTCTTAACACCAGCACCAGAAAACCACTCATCTACTTTCTCTATAGATTTGCCTTTACCGGACATTTCATATAAATGGAATCATACACTCTGTGATCACTTATGTCTGACTTCTTTAATTTAATACAGTGTTTTGAGGTTCATCCATGTTACAGCTGTTTTAGTATTTTGTTCTTTTTTTTAATTGCTGAATAGTATTCCATTGTATGAATATACTAGACTTTGTTACTCATTCACCAGGTAACAGACATTACGGCTGTTTCCAATTTTGGCTGCTATGGATAATGCTGCCATGAGCATTCACATGCAAGTCTGTGTAGACATGTGTTTTCATTTCTAGTGGGTAAAAACCTATATGTAGCATCGCTGGATTCTGCTTTTAATTTCTGTTTAACTTTTAAAGAAACTGCCAAGGTGTTTTCCAAAGTGGCTGTATTTTAATATTCCCACCAGCAATGAATGAAGATTCCTGTTTCTCCGCATCTTCTCCAACATTTGTTATTGTCTTTGCACTTATAGCCATTCTAATGGATGTGAAGGAGTAGCTCATTATGGTTCTTTTTCTTTTTATTTCTTTCTTTAAAATTTTCTAATTTTTTTTATTTCAATAGGTTTTTTGGGAACAGGTGGTGTTTGGTTACATGAATAAGTTCTTCAGTGGTGATTTCTGAGATTTGGGTGACTCATCACTCAAGCAGTGTACACTATACTCAAGTGTAGTCTTTTATCCCTCACCCACCTCCCACCCTTTCCCCTGAGTTCACAAAGTCGATTGCATTATTCTTATACCTTTGCAATCCTCATAGCTTAGCTCCCACTTACAAGTGAGAACATGCGATGTCATTGTGCTTTTTCACTTGCACTTTTCTTCTTTTCTTTCTTTTTCTTTATTTTTTTTTAGACAGTCTTGCTCTGCCACCCAGGTTGGAGTGCAGTGCATGATCATGGCTCGCTGCAACCTTCAACTTCCAGGCTCAAGTGATCCTCCTGCCTCAGCCTCCCAAGAAGCTGGGACTACAGGAACATGCCACCACACTCAGTTAAGTTTTCAACATTTTTCATAGAGATGAGTTCTCACTCTATTGCCCAGGCTGGTCTCGAACACCCGAGCTCAAAGAATCCTTCTATCTCAGCCTCCCAAAATGCTGGGATTACTGGTATGAGCCATGGTGCCCAGACTGATTTTTTAATGACGAATTATACTGAGTTACCTTGTGTGATTTTATTAAAAATCAGGGGAAAATGCTGAAAGGGTGTCTTGCTTGATGTAATATGATGGGATCTGGCATTAGAAATAAGTCGAGAGAGTGAACTAGCCTGTGGCAAATGTTCATTGTTTTGTGTGCTATTTTATGCTGATAAACTTTTTTTTTTTTAAAACAAGGTATCTTAAGCCAGAGTCAAAGAGCTTAACAATTACTTAGCTAAATTCAAGAAAAACCCACTTTTTCATAGCCACAGTAAAAGCAGACGGATAAGAAGTTTATCCTTCACAATTAGTGCTGATTGTTCCATGCTCTGTGAATTCTTAGCCTTTCAAAGCTCTGTAAGACTTTTATAAATCCCACAGGCCTCCCAGAGGCTTAACTAGCTTTTTGTTACCCTTCCTTTCAAGAATTATACTAATCATTAATTAGTAAGTGATATGATTCTATAATATTAAAGTTTTATAGAAAGTAATTTTGAGGGCATTTGGTGCATTATGGGGAAAAAAACAGACATTAGAATTTGTGCTAGATCATAGCATTAGGTATTTATACATTTGTGCTTATATTTCGGCCAACTTGGTCATTTTTCTCACTGAACTAGAAATGTCTGTCATTTTCTTTAGTCAGTATATGGAGAGGAACCAGTGTTCCTCTTCACCAGTGTTAAGCTCACATATGTTGGAGTACGGTTAGCTAATGACTTCCCTTTGCGAGGTCACAGTTCACAAAATAGAGCCCAAGGTACGGCTTGACCTTGGCAGCTTCAGTTGGCCTTTTCATTAAGGACATTTAATGTTACCCTAATTTGCTAATATGTATCTACCTTCCTGCTCCCACTTCCCAGTCTTAGAACTGTAACTGAATTGGGCAATTTGTTGTTGATAAAACTAAATATCTTCGTAATTACCAACAAATTCTATCTTTAGGTATAAGGTCCTTAAATGTTGTACCAACCCTGATGGAAATACCTGTATTTCCTGTAATTCCTGGTTACGGGTATTTAGTTTTTAAAAGCAAATTATCAAGAAAGCAAGTATAGGCTTGCAGAATCAGAGAAGCTCAAGTGTGGAAGTATACCTGCAGGTCTTCTAGTCATTTAGTCCACCTACTGGGTGTCTGTCATAGTGCAACTGCCAGCCTTATCTGTGATTCTGCTTTCCTTTAATATGTTGGGGATACTTTGATCTCCCATCTGCCTGTCATTTGAAATGAAGGTTCATGAACACAAAACATAATGTTGGAAGGTGAAGACAAACCATTCTCCATCCTTTTCGAGTACTGTGGCCTTAAATTGTATGTACACAAAGGAGGAGAATTTAGATTAAATGTGAACAATACAACCTAGAAGCAGCCAAGATGTGTGTATTCTTGGCCAGTGTAAGTGTCTTTATGCGGCAGTCCCCGATCTTTTTGGCACCAGCAACCAGTTTCAGGGAAGACAATGGAAACATGGAAGGTGGGTGAGCAGGTGCAGGGTTGATGGTTTCAGAATGATTCAAGCACATTATATTTATTCTTTATTCTTACATCACTTTATTTCTATTATTCTTACACTGAAATAGATAATAAAATAATTATACAACTCACCATAATGTAGAATCAGTGGGGGCCCTAGCTTGTTCTCCGGCAATTAGATGGTCTCATCTGGGGGTGATGGGAGACAGTGACAGATCATCAGGCATTAGATTCTCATATGGAGCATGTAGCCCAGATCCTTTGCATGCTCAGTTCGCAATAGGGTTTGTGCTCGTATGAGAATCTCATGCTGATCTGATGGGAGGCAGAGCTCAGGCAGTAATGCCAACCATGGGGAGTGGCCGGAAATGCAGATGAAGCTTTGCTTGCTCCCCACTGTACACCTCCTGCTGTGCGGCCCAGTTCCTAACATGTCTCAAACTGGTACAGTCTTTACGAATATTTTTCTGAAGATAGGTCCCAGAGCTTTCATCAGAATTTTCAAAATGTCTCAAAAATATAAGGTTTCATTATCTTAAAGAGAGATGTGTTAACCATTGGGATAGATTAGAGAGCAAATCTCTTTCCTGACAGATTTTTAAGAGTAAGTCATTCAATGTTCTACATATTAGATAAAAATCATTCTAGCAACGTTAAATTTCTTTTTTTCTAATCAGCTGACTTTAAGACAAAGTCAAACTTTTTTTGAGTGTGATAATAATATTGTGGTTATGTAAGAGAACATTCTTATCCATAGGAGACTCATGAAGAATTATTTAGGATATACTGTTATGATATTTTAATTTTACTCTCAACATTCCAGCAAATAAGTATATATAGGTATCAGTACAGAGAGATTTAGATAAAGCAAATGTTAGGGAATGTGGCAAAATATTAACAATTGATGAATCTAGGAGAGGGCAGATGGGTATTGATTGTGCCATTTTAGTTTTCTTGTGAATTTTATAAATTCTTTAAAAGGATTTTTCATTCCTTTATTCTTTGGGAGCAAAAGAATAAGGCAGTTCATTTATCTGTCTTTTTATTCATGCCCTCCCCCTTTTATCTGCCTTAACTTGGTCATTATAAAGAAGGCAGTTCTATCATATTTAGTAAACGGCTAAAATCAGGCGCAAAAAAAAAAAAAAAGGAAAATCACCGAGGAGCATCCCAAATTACATTTGAGCTATAACCAAGGACAGAACTAA